AAACGTCTTTGGACAGCGCTGGCTCTTTGGCTTTGAAACAGAGATGAGCACCGCAACCCTAGAGTCGGATTCTACTGGCTTTCGAGCAAGGGAACCTTTACCTTTACCTTTATTAATGGTTTAAAATTTTCTTTCTATACCAACCTAATTTGATTTAATCATGCTTCCAGTATTTCATTCCACTCAAGTGTGTTATATGGATCTTTGTCGCTCTCCCACTTTTTAAAATTGATCTGGTTTCCCATTAACTGCCGCAGATAGAGTTAACTGCCTTTCTCTGCTTTTGTCAGGAATGATGTTTCATTTTCCCTTCAGTCTGTTTTGAAAACAACTTCCTGTCTTCAGTTTTATATTTTTTCACATATATGTTATAATGTTATTAATGCCTTGTGTCTTATTCAGTGAATTTGACAGGAGGCCCCCACCTGCAGCTGCTTTTGTTCACTGTTTCTGCCTGAGAAGTGGTGGGTACTGAAATCACTTTGCTTGAACTTTACTGAAAGATTTTTGTTGCCTGGCTTTAATCAACTTGTTTTCTACAGTGGTTTCTTATACCCAATACTCCCTCTAAGCTGTGGAGTCTTGTGAGCAAAAATTCTACTTTGTGAACTACTGGCATTAAAGTTGTGAATGAGTGATTTGGCTGCTGCATACATTAGTTTGTTCTGGAGCCATCCTTCCTGAGCTAAGACAAAAATGTGTGAGCCGGAGGCTAAAAAACTGTGAGCTGGCTCACACTAACTCAGCTTCAAGGAAACTCTGCTCATACCATATTGTAGTGGTGTTCCCCCCCCCCAATTTGTTAAATAATCATATATTTTCAAGTATCTTGTTAATCAGTTTCACAGACATTAGTGAGCTCTTTCCGCTCACCCACCCCCAGTTTATTTGCACTTTCAGGTCAGTCTTGATTGATCTAATAAAAGTGCCACCTAACCGAATTTGAAGTGAATGCTGGGTTGTTTTGTTTGCTTTTCAGTCAGTAGGGTGGCATTATATGTTGTTACCTTTTGAGGACAGTATGTGAATATGCTTCTTTTTTACCATTATAATTGTTTTCATTCTTGGAGTTCATGCCAAGTACTTTCTAACCCGTTAGGTGTTCCTTTTCTTCAACACTAGCATGGTTTTAATAAGCACATCACTAAATATATATATATATATTTCTGCATTCACATTCATCTTTCTATCGTTTTTAGAATCCCATTTTTCTCCTCTATTTTATTTTTTCAGAAAACCGGGGGGGGGGGGTTAGGCTGAGAGATAGTGACTGGCTGAAGTGAGATTCCCACTAGCCATGACATCAAATTCAGTTGGTATTATTCATTCTCCTTTAGTTCTTGTAATTTCTTTTCTAACTTTAAACAACTGCTTCATGGACAGCTTTCCTGTGGTTTCCAATTGTCATTGCCTTGTGTTATTCATTTTATTGTTTTCTCTCAGTGTATAATATTTCCCTCTGTAATCCTTTTTACTGGTTCGCTCTTGCTTCTTTTCCCCCTTTCTTATTCTTCCATCTGTACTAGTAGCTATTTTATATCATGTTGTGGTTATATGTTCCTCTTGGTCTCAGTTATTGGACTTTGGATCAGTCTGTAACTCTACCGAGAACTTCTTGACAAATCTGGGCATTGACTAAGGCCACAAACAGTGTTCCCTCTAAGCTGAGTTAGTGTGAGGTAACACCTTTTTGTCTTAGCTCAGGAAGGATGGCTCCAGAGCAAACTAATTTATGCAGTAGTCAAATCCCTCACTCACAACTTTGATGCCAGTAGCTCACAAAATCAAATTTTTGTTCACAAGACTTCACAGCTTAGAGAGAACATTGGCCACAAGGTGGTCAAAGAGTCTTCCACCCTGGCATATTCACTTTCCATAGAACAACCAAGAAGCAGTCAGGGGCAATATGAGAGAATTATATGTCTGTACCCTTCACACTAAAGAAACTAAGAGGGCCTGCTGATTGTACTATTTCCAAAATTATAGCAGCTCATGCTATCTCATGAGCATGGGAAAAGAGGCCAAAGTACCAAGAATTTTGAATCATAATATCCTCCTCCCCCATGCAGTGCCGGGTCAGAAATATAGCTTCAGAGTAGCATATAGAACTTGGATGGAAGACCACCAAGGGTTACTACACAGAGGCAGGCAATGGCAAACCTCCTGTGTTCATCTCTTTCTCAGGAAACCCTATGAGGTCTCCATAAGATGGCCATGATTTGATAGCACTTTCCTCCACAATAGCGCTGATTGCAAACATGCCACTTATGGAATTAGATTAAATCGGATTTCCCTCGGAAGGTAGCCGTTCCCTTTGACCTTCAAAAAAAAAGCAATGCTGTGAATCATGGGTCCTGCAAAAGCCATGAAAGGTGGGATCTGAAGTCAGAAGGGGAACTGGGCAAGACAGGGTGAAAAGGGTAGGTGGATCCCACCCATGATGTCCAGTGGTCACTTCTGGTTTAATTTCAAAAATTAAAACCAGATGTGGAGCATACACAGTTCTCTAGCGCATCTTTAATTTTTTTGGCATCTTTCCCATCTTCTGTTATTGATGTACACTTGAGTGTTGTGAAATAACTGCACAGTCAGGAGAGGCAGAAGGTAGGAGATACTTGAAAATATATGTGCAGCATGGCCCTATACAAGTTTACACAAAACTAAGTCCAATATGTTGTCAAAGGCTTTTTTGGCATCTTTTCCATCTTCTGTTATTGATGTACACTTGTGTGTGGTGAAATAACTGCACAGTCAGGAGAGGCAGAAGGTAGGAGATACTTGAAAATATATGTGCAGCATGGCCCTATACATGTTTGCACAAAACTAAGTCCAATATGTTGTCGAAGGCTTTCATGGCCGGAGTTCATTAGCTTTTGTAGATTTTTCGGGTTGTCTGGCCATGGTCTTGACATCGTAAGACCTGATATTTCGCCAGTAGCTGTGACTGGCATCCTCAGAGGCAGGGCTCTTTTTGTAGAAAAAGCCCAGCAGGAACTCATTAGCATAATAGGCCACACCCAGAAGCAGAAACTCATTAGCACAGGGGTGGCGAACAAGTTCGACAAAAAGAGCCAAAATTTTAAACTGTGAGAGTCAGAGAGCCACACCACGCAGTGACCTGCCAAAACAGACAAACACTCACACAAAAGCATATACTTTTAACAATAATATATCAAACACATAATAACATGCTCAGTCAGGTGTTTTTTGTTACCTTGTTGGAGTGATGGGATGATAATCTCAGAGGTCCCTCCTCAGAAGCAGCATAAAAAAACCCAAACTTGGCAAAGAGGCTGTCCCGCTCCGAGGGTCGCGGGCGACGAGC